TAACAGGTTAAGCCCTACACTTCAAATCTAAGTCCCAAATTTCGTCCACAAACTCGAAATGACCTCTTAAGGGTAAAGTTTCCAACTTTACCCACTCCCAATCTTCATTAATGGGTTTAGCTCAATCCTTAGCTCCTTAAGACATAATTCTTTGTCCAAAATCATTATCACTCGTTCCTAAGGTAAGAGAACCAAGATCTAGACCCTAGACACCCACCAACCTCGTAAAGCCTCAAAATTTACTTCCATGCATGGCCATTTGGGGCTTAAAAGGCCATAACAACATCCGTAGGGTTTGCATGGGACTCCAATAGCATAAAGTTTGCATCTTTATGCCTTTACAACCTTTAATGACTCTAAAACTGAAAGTATAATCAACTTGGGACATCCATGACTCATAAATCATACTTCTTGGACAAAACCCCATGAAAGTGACCATAAGAGATCTAAGGAACTACAATGCAAGTTAGGAGCTTGATTACCAGAAAGTGATGAGAATGGAACGGAATCCCTGGATCTATAACGTTCTCCTTGAACCTTCAAGCTCCTTCTCTTATTTTAGGTTTCAAGAACACACAAACCACTAAAGGATGGATCACACACTCCTAAAATGCTCTAAGGTTTCGTGGATTAGGGTTTAGGACTTAGAGACTATAAATAGGACTGATGGAAGGAGAATAAGATGCTTAAATAGGGTACAAAGACTCGAATTTAGGGTTTCCTAAACCCAGACCAACTCGTCGAGTAGGTCCTTCTACCTGCGTACCAAAACTCGCTCCTACTCGTCGAGTCATCCCCCCATACTCGACGAGTGGCCTTCTTGACTTAGGGTTTTCTTTCCTTTCTTTTGCCTTCTTGACTTAGGGTTTTCGCTCCTACTCGTCGAGTCATCCCCCCATACTCGACGAGTTGCCTTCTTGACTTAGTCTCGGCCTAGGGACCGAACCTCGGCCTAGGACCGAGAGGTCTCGCTGGGAACTCAATTTCTCCCGGTTTTCGCGTAGTTTTACGTTTAAGGCCCGTTTTTAATTATTTTAATGCGGGATTTTCACCCAAAATTATATTTTAACATAATAAACCCTAAATATTCACAATTTAATCATATTTTCATAAAAATCTTTATTTAAATAATAAAAGCAAGTGGGTAAAGTACAAAGAGGTGGAGTGTTGACTTTGCTTTACCTTATGACACAAGCAACCACTCCCACACCCACTCTATGACCAGCCACACCTCCCCACCTTACCTAGGTTACATCAAGGTCCTTTCCACTCAATTATCACTCTTTCCCACGTTTTTGAGAGCTGAATATTCATCCTCTCTCCTCACTCCTCTCATTTGCTCTCATTTCACAAGAAGATCAAACTCTTTCCTCTCTCATTTTCTCTCTCTAGAAATTCGAGATTCAAGGGTTGATCTTGAGTTTTTCCTCCGCATTTGGTAAGCATAATCCATTTTCTTTATGATTATCTCACTTATTTCCACTCAAATCATGGATATCTTACACAAACTCCATTATATTTGTGTTAGAGCTTCGAATCTTCAAGTGATTCTTCAAGTGTTCTTGGGTTGAACACTTCTCTTCTTCAACACTTATCTACTGAAATCACTCAAGGTGAGTTCATACCCCTACATTTTCATGTTTTCTCAAGTTTTCAGGGGGGGGGGGGAATACAAGTTAAAACACCAAAAACATAACTAAAATTTTCTAACAGCCTTCATCAGAAAAGTTCAACTCCATTCACAGACTGTTTTGGGCATCTTAAACATTTTTGTTTTCAAAACTGTACAAGGTGCAAATAGTTCAAGTTTTTAGCTTTAAAATTACTACTTGCACATCTCCATACGATTTTTCTACAATTTATGGTGATTTTTACAAAACTGCCTATCATTTCAAACAACAATCCGGACCAGTTTGTGATTATGGACTTTTTCACCCAAGTTGGAGGTCATTAAAAATCGTGATAAAAATTATGAGTAAACTAGACACATTTTGTGAACTCTCAGAATTTACGGATCTAGTTTTCGACTTCGTATGATTTTTCTATGATTTTTCCAAAACAGTGCAGAAAAGCTAAAGTTAGCCAACAACATATAAATATCATAACACTTTGTATTATGTTGAGCAAAGTGTATAATCATAAGTTCTAATTATTGAATGTGTTCTTTGTTAGTTTATCATCATGAACTGAAACTAAGTCAATCGTAATAAATATTATGCATTCATTTTAGAACAAGTATAATAAACTATAAAAAGTATAGTTTCAAATTCATAACACTAATACATTTCCATAAAAGAGTTCATACATATTACATACATTTTAGATAAACTATAATAGGTATAGTTTATGATACATCACTCAACACACTCGTACAGAAAGGGTACATTCATACAGAAAAGATTTATATTCACACACATTTCACGTAAACTTGTTAACCTATAGTTTGATAAATGCATAACACTAATACATTTCCATAAAAGAGTTCATACATATTACATACATTTTAGATAAACTATAATATGTATAGTTTATGATACATCACTCAACACACTCGTACAGAAAGGGTACATTCATACAGAAAAGATTTATATTCACACACATTTCACGTAAACTTGTTAACCTCTATTGTGAGACTCTCTCTCTCTCTCTCTCTCTCTCTCTCTCTCTCCCCGTACGTCCGAGTGCGGGATATAATTCCTGGTAGTTATAATCAGAATCTCCTTGAGGGAGAACGTGATACTTGTATATAGATCTTTATTGGGTTTGACACCCCACACCTTGCTGCTAGCTACAGTGGGACCTGCAGGTCTACGGGTGACAAATGTCATTTCAGTTTTCGCGATGCCTGAGAACGTCGTGGCAGGTTCACATAGTCATAGTATGATTATAGCGACTCACATAGGGATATAACAATCCATAAGTTTACGGGATTTTATTTTTAAAACCTAAATGAGTTTTATGTCGATTTAAAATCACTTTTTACCTCTATGAGTACAGATATTACTGTACACTTTTGGTTTTGGTAGTTACGACTACACATCATTTGAAACCACATTCATACCTTTAAGTATGGTCAATACTTGTTATTACTCGGTCCTCTAATTTAGGACTACATATATATAAAGTATTAACAAACATGTGAACATACAGAAATTTCATTTAATTCAAACGCGTCCATGTCCATTTAAGTACATAACATTTTCTATTAATAAGAAAGGTTACTTATACATTTTGGTCTTCAGTCATAAGACTACACTACACAAATTTTAAAGAAAATATCGGATTTTCTGGATACATATTCTAATGCTTTTACCAGGAAAACGATTTACTTTTCTAACGAAATCTCTTATGAACTCACCAACCTTTGTGTTGACACTTTTCAAAACTACTTGTATTCTCAGGAATTCAGTGAAAACAGGAAATCAACAACGTTTTGAGGATGGGACGATAATTCGTCAAACAGTTCATTTTGTATCATAATGTAATTGATGTGAATCATGTAAACATGTGCTTCGATGTAACGTTTTCAATTATATTTGTGTTGGTTGTATTTACTTTGAGCACCATTATACTCATTGTTGTGATACTCTACATGAAGTCCTCCACCCCCGGACATTTCCGCCATCCTTGGTTTGGGGGTGTGACAAGGATGTATATTTATTAACTTATGAATAATGATAGCTGAAACTATAAAAAATAAAAAATTTATTTTATCTTAAAACTATATCAATATGAATGTCTATTTATAGTGAATACAAAATTATGAATTTTGATATATTTAAAATCAATTTTCAATAAAATTAGCTCCTTAAAAAAACCCGAAAAAACTATGTTTTGTATATATTAAGATAATGATTAACATAGTTTAAGAAAACATGTTTTGTTGAAAACACATATGTGTATTCATTTCCCATTTCCGCCGGTACGACAGAGACTTTTGCGGCAAAAATAAACGAGCGATTGAGAATAATTCCCCATTTCTCAACATTTTTTATTTTCTCAGTTGAACTTATCTATACACACACAAACACGCACATACAGGTCCATTTTTAATTTTAAAGAATCCTTATTCGAATACAAATACTTAATGAAGTTCTTATCTGAATCCAATAGGTTCTCATCACCCATAAATACAAAGGGAGAGACTTCAAATATGGGAGACATTCTATACACTCAAAACACCTAAGTGGTAAGGTGTTAAGAGTGTTATCACTCCCTTTAGCCTTACGATGATAATACGGCTAACTGATTTGTTTAAGATATTAATGAGGCTGAAATTAAAGCCGATGTCTAGTCACAAACTATCCCATGACCAAGGTACCCATCATAAACAAATATAGAAATGATATAAAAGAAAAAGAAATGTACAGAATACTCTTAAAAATTAAATTGTTATGCACAATTTCACATGACTTCATTTGATAGAGATCAAGAAAATGAAGGACCAAAATGACATAAAATCAACAATTTTAGATCAAAATATAACAGTAATTAGTTTAGGTACCAAAATTGTAGTTTAGTTAAAGTATAAGATTGAACCGGATAGCAACACAACTTTTGGTCAAAAAGAAGAGGGAGTCCAAATATCTAATAGCGGAAAGGCGGGAAATATACCAAAACACATATCCCGGATTCACCATTACCATTTCCACCTGGTTCCCACGAGGCATCCGTCGTCGTCAATATCATTTCCACTCTCCGCCGCATCAACTCTCTGCGTCTGTACATTATCGGCATGTCGATTTCAGAAAGGTACGTCACAGATTTGATGTACTTACTTTGTTACATTAATGAATATATCTACATGCGAGTTGTTATCATCAAACTTATATACCGATAGATTTCTTTGTTATCGGATTGTGCAAAGTCACGTACAAGGTAAATGGATGTTATAATCGCATGATATCACAAGTAGATCGATCATATAGGTTTATTGTATATACGTTTGTGTAATTTTTGACGACTTAACCTTATTATTAACAGTAATTGTTCGATTTGGATCAAATCTGCGCTTGTTTTCTGCTGATTCTGTACATCTTGAATGTCTGTGAATCTGTATTCAGTCAGCATGATAAGGCGAACACACGAACCATACATACGCAATGGATAGATTTTTTTTTGATGTTTGTATGCTGTAAATGGCACTGCTGATTGGTTCTCCAATTATGAACGCATACACTACTGAACAAACTGCATATCTATGCTTGAAGGCTTGACATGGTTGTTGACATTGACTGATTCTCTCAAATAGATAAGTACTAGCCTTTCTGTTATCTGTTTATCAGCTTGAAATGACATTACATATTTCTCAGCTTTCCCTGTATGTCAATTTTATGCAACTCTTTCAGTTTTTTTATGCACTAATAGTCACCATCTGCTTCTTTAGTGTTCTATTTTGGAATTTGTGTTTTGCAAATCAACCAATCTCATATCAGTATAGATCTAGAACAAACAGCTAAGGATTCAGAGTAAAAACTCATAACATCTCTAGAACAAAGCTAAAACAATACAATATCACAATTTATCTTTGGGTTAATACAAATTAACTGCTGTCTCTATGAAATCCTAAGCTATGAATCAAGCCACTCTGGCCATCAACAGCAGACATTGTCTTTTCACCAAAGCTATATGTCTGCTGTTGCTCTTTATACATGCCATTTATATCTCTATCTCTAATTTGCATTTGCATTTGCATTTGCATCAGTCTTGGTCTTTGCTCTCTTGCTAGCTGGAAAGTGTAGCCTGGCCATAAGTGGGCGTGGGGCCCGTGTCTTCTGGTCAAATCCCCTCACACAAACAAATCCTGAATTACATCATTAAAAGTTAAAACCAAGTCTTAAGAAAAAATGATTAGTGTAACATAACATTATTATAACTTATAAAGATCTATGATCTATATGATATCTACAGACCTCTCCAGAAGCAGTATTGAATATCTTCTGTTGTAAGGCCTGTCAGATAAAAAAAATTTACTTCTTGTGAGTTTGGTATCCATTTTAAATGATTCAAACTTTTTTCTTTCTACCTTTGAATATTGTTGGTATAGAAGTACCAAAATACACTGTTCTTCTTGGTAAATTCCATAACCAAGATCTCGGGACATCAATTGGATTAAGGCTTGAGTCATGGTCTGCAAACACCTGCATTCCAATAGAATTTGTTTGTTTCAAACATCACAATAACATTTAGTAAAGAAAGAACTAAAAGAAAAAGAAAAATACTTGATTATCAGAAAGAGTTCATGTTAAGCAAAGTCATACCTCATTCACTTGAAAATATGTCCCATTGAGTGGAAAGCTCCCTCTCATTGCAGTTCTACATGGTATCTGTACATGATTTGTATTTTTAAAATTGAGAGATATGAACAGGACAATGTATTTGAATTTACATACTGATTTGAACAATTATTATAGCATCTTTCTTTCGTTACTTTTTTTTTTTTTTTTTTTTTTTTTTTTTTTTTTTTAATATCTACAAACTCACCAAGAGTGTCCCTCTAACAGTTTGGTTATTTGCTTCTCGTGTGCTGTTGCAGAAAAAACATGTTTCTTCATTACATAATGAGCCAGATTCTTGGGAGGAACATTGTCCAGCTGGCGGTTGAATCGAATCTGCAGTTTCACCTATTGGTATAAACAAACAAATAATTCAATCAGCATTTCACTTTCACAAAACCATTTATATTTAATTCTCTCATTTTCATTTCATCCACTCACCAGGTGTCCAAATTGCAAGAAGGTATGAGCAAGGATCATCAGGCTCTCGTGTGTCCATCTGTAATTCATGACACATTTGTTAAGAAGCATAAATCAAATCAAGAGCATTTCATATTCTTCATAAGGTACACTTACCCCTTCCAAAAGAGGATGTGAATCTGGAAGCTCATATCTGCAAAATTGATACCAAAAAGCCATTAGAATTCACAAATCACACAACTGCTAAAAATAACATAAATCATCTTTTCACAATCACTTACACTTGATGTTCTGTTCTTAGTTGGCTGACATTTTTAAGTTTAGGTACAGGGATTGCTGCAGCTTCTGATGTTAAGGCAACTAGTGCTTTTGACAGGTCACCTTCTCCAAGTTCCATGTGTCTTTCCATGTAAGTCTGCAAATTCTGAGTAAACTCTTCCATGTTTAGTTTAATCATAGGAATTTCTTCACTGTCTTCTTCACAAAAATCCTCCATATCAAGCTCTTGTTGTATCTGTTCTGGCTCTGGTGTTGTGGGAACCTCAATTATAGGCTCTGGTGACAATGGCACCTCCACTATAGGCCCTGATGTTGATGCTACTTCAATTATTGTCCCTGGTGTTGATGATTCTTCAACAACAGGGTTACAATTTTGGACTTCAGATAGTTTTTGTTGTTCTTCATTAGGTTGATTGCAATTTTGGAGTTCAGATAGCTGTTGTAGTTGTTCATTAGGTTGATCTGACATTCCAATTAGTTTTTGACCAGTTTTGTTTTCTGTTATACTTGCTACACTCCCCTCTGGTGCTGGTAACCCTAGCCTTGCACTGCAGTAAAAATTATAATTAAAACTTTGACTTTGACTTTGACTGTGATTAATGTCAATGAGACAAAAATCATAATATTTTGTCCCAACGAAAAAGGTGGAACAAGGAGAGTCTTGCTCTTGATATCTTGTTTGTGGAAAAGACATAAATGCCCTTTAGTTTAAGTATGTCTGACCTTGCGAATGCACTTGCAAAATGTCTACATTCTCCTCTCATTGGACATGCATTGCAATTTGGTTTGCTCTTTGTGCAAAAAACCTTTCCAAATGTAATCATCTGGTAATGTAATTCATACCTGTAAATAAATAGAGAGTTTTAATTAATTAATTTTTTAATGTTTAATTGTTTATATGCATAGTGTTAGATATTAAATATTAATGCATGAAAACAGTTGGCATACAAAGTTCTCTGGTCAAGCTTGCAAAGTCGTGGCCATAGGTACTGCTGAATCGTCTCCAAAACTGGATACCTGTGTAGAAATTTAAGTATTATTTTTAATAAATGATAAAGTTTTAAATTTTAATAAACAATTTTACAAAAGTTTAGTACTTACAATTCTAAAAGATGCAACTGAAGAGACTCAGGAAGTGGTTGCAGGGGTACCCATCCGAGTCTTACAGCTATACGCCCCACATTTGTGTCAACCTAGTTCAAAGCATTCAATCATTCATGTCAAAATGTTTGATTATGAATATTACAAAACAAGTCCCTGTGCTTTTTCATTTTTACCGTATTTAGTCCAAAATTGAAAAGTTTCTTAATATTAGTCCTTATTTCAAGGTTTCATATTCAATTTGGTCTCTGGAATCTTGAAATAAGGAACAAATTGAAAAGCGTTTTAGTTTTGGACTAAACATGGTAAAAATCAGAAAGCATAGGGACCATTTTTGTAATTTACTCATACTAAAAATGATGAACTATAATATCTCAGGAATAATTCTTACAGGGAAGGCAAGATGGTGAAGTGTTAGAAGTCGAACACACTCTACACTTTTCAATCCCAATCCTCTAAAGCTTAACAAATACTCCCTGAAATCATAAAAAAATATTAGTTACTATTTCAAATAATATTAATTGTAAAAAAAAAAATTCTAATGGGCTTACTTTGCTTTATCAGGGGGAACATCTCTTAACCATTCAAGGTCAACACTTCCATGGTCTTGTACAATCCGGTCAAGCAAGGCCTGTATCAATGCAGATATTTACACGGTATGCCATTTATATTTAAATAATATCAAAATGTTTATTTATTATAAAAAATGACATTTATACAATCATACCTTAATTCTTGTTGCAAGTACATTGTTCATACCCCTTTCTTTTATGGCATCAGCAATATCACTAACATCTGCGTTCATTAATGCTTCATAGTCCAATGAATCCATTGTGTAAGGAGTTCTCTCTTTCTTTTCTTTGACTTCAGCTTGTAATCTTAATTTATCCCATTCAACTTTAACCTGTTTCTTTCCAGCTCTCACTTTATCAATTACAGATCTACCCTTATCAACTGTTTGACTACTCCCACCTGAATTAAATTCAACCACCTTATCAAATGCTTGTCGCACCTCATTGGTTTTGTGGGATTCTTGGGAACTTATTGTTTCGACCGTTTTACCCCTAGCTTGACTTGCAGATTCTGCAGATAATCCACTTTCTTCACTTCCACACTCTTTAGGTAGAAGGGTATTTTCAGAACCATTGCAACAAGGTGATGTGTTGGATCCTTGCATGTGAAGTAACTCAACAAAAGAAGTGTACTCATTAAGACCAGTAGCTTGACACCTATCCTTTTGTTGCTCTTCATTAGGTTGACACCTGTCCTTTTGTTGTTCTTCAGTGGTTTGACTTTGACTTTGACTTTGACTATGAACAACTGATGATTGTACAGAGCTTGGAGATGTATCTGTAGAATTCTGTGAGGAAATTATATCTTCAACTCCACATTCTGAATTTTCATTAAAGTCGACTGTATACGCGACATTTTTAGAAACTTCATTGCTGTATACAACTTCTCTTTTTTCATTATCCTTCAACATCATGGTTTCTTCTTCATCTAAAGGCTCTTCAACAGACACAACTGAATTCTCTTCATGAAGAGGTTCACTGCTGCTTTTTGACTTGGAGGGGTATCGTGATACAAGAGACATAAATGCCGAACTGCAAATGCAAGTGAAAATATAAACTTTTTTGTTTAATGAAAAAAATACAAAAATTGTTTTTTATTATTAATTTTTAATTTAAGTTTACCTTGATAAATGATCCGATACATTCTGTGTAAGAAAAACCCCAATCACAGAATCCAAAACAGATCCTTTCCACCGAGAGAATCGTCTGTCCCCTGCAAAACTTACATTTTCAGTATTGATAAATTTTCGAATGATATTTTTGTGAAAAGACGATTCTAACCTTGGACAAGATGCATGCGAGCTATGAACGAATCTGCTCTTCCACTAAACACTCTTCGTTCTTCTTCCCACCACTTTGCTTTATCCTCATCTGTTCCATCGATTCCTTGACTATTTATATCTTCCAATAATAGCCTCCAAACTCTACTTGTTTCATCATCAAGGTCAACTTTAGGCCTTGGCTTTCTTCTTCTAATCGGATTAAACAACCCATCATATGGAACTACACTCCCATGTCCTTCAAAAGGAACAATAGCATTCAAATTCACATTCACATTCTCATTCTTTTCATTGTTTCTTGACAAGTAAGGAACAATCGCCACCCTGTCCTTTTCCTCCATCAATCCATTAATATCCATCCGCTCAAATTGCTTAACAAGTTCATCAAAATTCCATCTTAAATTTGGTTGACACCCTGCAATATTTGAATATATCACACAAGGATTTTAAAAGTTTAAAACAGACACATTTTTTTTTATTTTCAATTAATTTAGTATATATAATATATAAAATATAAAATACCTAAGTTGTTTGTGAAGCTTATTTGGTCTTGATACGAAGAAGCCACCACCATAGTGGTTGTTGTTTTCTTTGCACGTTTCTTGGTTGCTTTACTCACTTGGATTTCCGCCTCATATATTGCTTCTCCTTTAAATCCAGTCGATGCTTGCATGTATCTGTAAGATTGCTGATCATAACTTACTTTTATACCATTTTCCCACACAGATATCATGGAAGTCTTCCGCTTTCTGATTCTCCTTTTCTTGCTAATCACAGGTAAGCTCACTGGTTTGTTATTATTATTACTACTGTTATTGTTATAGTCTGTGTACACTGATAGATATGCCTCCAAAGAATCAGGAAAAGGCGACACTCCAACTCCATTTCCATTTCCATTTTCAATCTGTTGCTTTGATCCCTGTGCACTTGTGCTGCAGTTTGATTCATTCGGACTTGATACATTAGTAATCACTCCTTTCTCATGAGTTTCTTGCAAGAAATTTATCCTACATTTTGCTGTTTTGTGACTTTGATTCCCATCGCCATTGACATCTTTAATGGATCTTGATCTCCCCTGTTGGGTTTCAGTTTTACTTGGGGTGATAGGGGTAGTGCTTGTAGAGCATGTTTTCTCAACCTCATCAAAGTTGATTCTTCTTTTACATGATTTTTCACTTTTTTCTTCTTCATCTTTGGTCAGATCTATGATTCCCTCAACAACAGGTGTTTTTGTTTTTGTTTTTGTTGGTGTCGATTTTTCAAGTGGTTTTCTCCTGACGTATTTTCTCTTTCCGGTTGAAGAACCATCGGGCTTTGGAGTAGCGGGCTTTTTTGCACTTCTGGGCTTACGCTCTTTTATCACCTTCGGTCTGTGCTTTCTCCTCCGTTGCTTCGGTTGTTGTGGCGTTTCATTCAAATTGATTTGTTCACTCAATCCCTTTTCTTGATTCGATTCCACAATTGTTGAAATTTCAGCTTCCTGTGATTGTGCGATAATCACCTCCGCCACCGGTTCTGTTACGACGGTTTCCGGTGGTGGCGCGTTTAGATCGGATAAGAAATTATGAAGCTTTGCCGATCCATTGGCATCTGCGAGGGCAAGTAGATCTATACAAGGAATACTATGCCATGGTTCCACGTCATCAATGGAAAACCTAATATTATTACCATTATCACAAATTCCACCGTTGATCTCGAAATTTTGACCCAAATTATTCTCCCAGCAGCTGAAATTCTTGTTCGCTTGTGAATCTTCAAACAACGCTTCATCAAACGGAGTTTGTAGCCAGTGTTTTGAGATCGTGTTTTCCGATCGGCTTGGCTTTGCTGGTGTCGCCGGAGCATAAACGCCGTCAGCTGGGTAAATTTGGTGAGAAGATGAACCTTCCCCCTCTTTATTATCCATTTTCGGAAAAAATAAAGAAAAAAGCACAATTTTTTTTTTCTTATTCTCGCCTACCCTAAAACTCTAGCGATTCTTATTTCAACAAATTGCAGCGAAAAAAGGAACAAAAATAAAAAAATCAGATTTTACAGTGTTTCCGCTTCGCCATCAGTCTGCCTTCAAACGCTATCCTGCAGAATAAATCAATTCGTCAAAATTGATAATTTATCGGGAAAATTTATGCTAATTATATTATATATCCCAAATAACCATCAGATCTTCCGGTATACAGCAAATGGAGGTTGTGAAAACACGAGTAAATAATTATATACACCAAAAAACGTAGAAAACGTAAAGTTTGTGTTAAATCGGATGTTGTGGTAGATTACTAGGCGTCTTTCATCGCCGGAAAAGATGAATACAATGAAAAGTGACTAACCTCGCTGACGGGAGTAATCGGAGACGTAGATTTTATGGCCGGAGATCTGATTCAGTCGGTGGTCGGCGAGAAAAGTTAATTGGAAAGCAGTGGTTCAGTCCATAGAAAGAGAGAAAGAGGGTGGAGAGAGAGAGAAGCGAACAGAATCAGAGTTTTTTATTCATTGCTTCTTGTTCTCAGTTAGTATTTTGATACCCCTTTAGTTTACGTAAAGTTCTGCATGGTATGGGTTCGCGGGAGATAAGCTGTAATTCGAAATTTATAACGGTTTCGAATTACACACGTGTAATATTCAAACATATTAAAAACAAAACATAGATAAGGAGACTGGTAGTTAGAAAAGGTGTGTCCTATTCAAATATAGGACCCACACAAACTGACAAACACAATCTAAATTTCTTTACATATTATATAAGATTAAATGCAAGAAAGAATAATATATTTTATTTTTGTCGTGTGATATCATATTTTTATATAATATATTTTGATGTCATATATTTTCTTTAACTTTTTATCGTAACATCGTAATCTCATTTGTTAACGCGATGTTTTTTCAATCTATTTTTATTTAGAAATTATAAATAACTATGAAATTTAAACTATAATAAAGTTATATGTGTTGATATCTTTTTATAATATGTTATTTTTTCAATTTGTTTTAGAACTTTGTATTTTCAAATTGTAGAGGTTTTTTTTACCAAATGGGTGTATTTGAAAAAATATTTATCAAATAGGTGTAGTTTCAAATATATTTACCAAAACAATATTTTTGTAACTCTTTTAATATTTTCGTCTATTGTTTTAATTTTTAGTGTTTTTTAATATAATTTCGACGTTTTCTAACCTTTGCTATTAACTTATATACAAAAATTACAAATATATTATAATAACAAATTAATGAAATCTCAATAAATATTCTTAATTGTAAATAAGATTAATTGATAAACAATAATGTTAGACATTGTAGATTAAAGCCAACATCGAACGTGCGATATATTTTTTGGGTATAAATCCAATAACGACTTCTTACAAAAACGGAATGAAAAAAATAAATAGTTCTATTGATTGAACCGATTAACTTTAATGTCTTTGCATTCACATTGGCTTAAAGAGATATTTTTTTCCGATTATGATCACTTTGCCTATAAATCCCACAAAGGTACCTTTTTTTTTTCTTTGATGTTCATTCCATTTCGTAGTCTTGTTGAGCGAGGAAGATCTTTTTTATTTTGTACAAGTTCTAAATTTGGAAGCAATTATCTGGATGAAGAGTGCGGCCAATACGCTTTATGAGGAAGTGGGGAAAACTCAGATGCCCAAGTAGAACAATATTCTGCAATGGAGTAAAATCTATGAACATATTGCCAACTATTCAAGGATAGTTTGACACATACACTTAAAACTTGAGAACAAAGATATTTAATATATCTCTAACTTACCACATGTTTTTTTTTTTTTTCAAATTAACTACTTGCACATTTTTTCTTTTTTGAGTTATCAACTCAAATATATCTTTCTCTTGATTAAAAGATCTCAATGAGTGTGCACTTGCTATTGACATTAAAACCACTTGTTTTACAACAACTTGAGGAGTATACTTGGGTACTAGATCCTAAAGGACGCCTTACTTCAAAATAATGTACCAATCTATAGAAAGTAAGTTTGACACAAGTTGTGATTGGTAAAAAACGAGCAAGAAACGGTAAAATAGACCAATCCGACCAATAACTATTTCTAAACATCGATCTATTCTTAAACCAATTAAAGGATAACAATTGAATTTCATCTGCCACCTTGAGCGAAGAATTTGTCCTATTGTTGAAGACCAAAGCATTATGAGTTTTCCAAATAACCCACACCACTGAGTATAAAAGCGTCAACCCCAATTTTTTCCTCTTTTTACTTACCACTGGGATTTTTAATATAGAGATCAAGTCCTCAATATAGGTTGGAGCAGTAACAAACAAGCCACTCTATGCTCCAAACCAAATCCAAATATGTGCAGAAAAAGAGCAATTAAAAAAAACATGCTCTATGGACTCCATTTTACTTCCACACCATTTGCAAGACAACTAATTAATCACAACCCCTATAAGCAATAAATTATAAGCAACTGGGATCTTGTTACAAGTAATCTCCAAACGAAACAATTAACTTTGATAGGTACCCAACTTACCCATTGAAAGTCAGCCATGCTACAATTTGCACCTTGATTTAACACCATTAAACCTCTAAGAGAAGAAACCAAGAACAGCCCTGAAGAACTACCTTTCCACACCCACATATGATCAGAAACGGACAGAGTTGTACCTGCCACATCAACTTCTAAACCCTCAAGCTCAGCCATCTCTTTACTCCTCGGTAACCTCTTCCAATCTGTAAGCAAAAGAGATCCGTCTCTTCCTCCAACCTGTATATAATCTCTAAAGACTATTAAATATCTAGTAAACAGATTTTTTTCTCTTTTTATTAATAAAATACTAGGTAATGCATATAAGTTTATTTTGCTGCAAAAGTTTTATATAACACAAAATAAAGTTTTCATATCTATGTTGTATGTACAAGTTTTATATAACAGAAAATAAAAATGCTTATATATTTTTTTTTAATAAAATAATAATAATAATAAACAAGTAAGAGCTTCTCAAATGATAATTCTTTTATAGTTAATTTTTAAACCCTCAAATCTAATTTATTCATAATCTAACATATAATTTACATCTGTCCACAATATGATTTGAATTTTCGACCGCAAAGAAAGAAGATAATACCAGATACTGTTGAACTAGAAGTAGAAGTTGTTTAGTTTTTTTTACAGCTAGCAGTAATATAAATTATCCTAAAACCTTTTACCATTGTGCATAGTTACCTTTAATGGTTACTCCAAGGTTTATTAGCCTATAAATGGCTATGTAATTTATTTACCTTATGTATTTTGATCATACAATAGTAAATTAAATATATTTTACCAGTTGATTTATTTACTAATAACGCAATTATTAAATTTACTATTAATACAATATTAAACTAAATATATATTCAAATAATATCACTAAAAATCATTTGTCAAATAATAAAATTACATAAATCTCAAATATTAAACTCGATTATATGCATTTGGGGAAAAAGGATTTCTAAAGAAAAGTACACATTAAAAAAAGAAAAAAAGCATAAAGGTATTCTCTAACAATAATTAAGCCCTACCTGGTAAATGTAGGAAACATTAAAAAAAAAATACTAATTTAATAAATATTTTTAAAATTATATTAAATTCAGAAATATTTTTTTCAATAACCTATTTCGTCGGTTAAAAACTCTCGTAGATATTTAAATTAAAACAATAACTGTAATAGGTCAACCACTAAGATTCTCCAACGGTCATGCATGTGTGATTGTGAAAAAAGTTAATTACTTCCCCTTTATCAGAGTTTGTATTAAATTTATGTAGTCATATATTAAAATATTACATAAATAAATGTGAAGTTATTGGGATTTGGGAACCGCTCATCATTATGTAATTTCGGAGGACAAGAGGGGTAGAACCGTACTTTTACCATTGAAATGCCTTAATAATTATTTATGGACTAGATAAGAGGTAAAATGATACTTTTGTAAGAAGGATGCGGACAAACGGCGTGTCATGCGATTCACTGGACTAATCACGTGAGTCTATCAACACGTGCCAAGGGCTTACTTGGCACACTGCACATGTTAAATCGGTTGGTAAGCATTTTAACAGCGTCTACGGCTCCTTTTCATCACATAAAACGTTTAACGGAGGAACGTTAGCTTCTGCAACGTCTGTTTTCTTCCTAATAATATTTGATTTGTGGTATACAATCTGATAAAGAAATAAGTGATAGTTAAATGTTTAGAATATTTTATTTCAATACACTAACACATGTTATCTTCTTTTGTCTATAATTAATGTTTTAAAATGTTGTATGATATACGTTTATAAAATATAAATTATTATGTATAGAAAAAGTTATTGATGCCCTCATGTACCAGAGGTCGCTGCCGAGCGTCGCCGATGCCAGACCTCACTACCGCCACCTGACATCTCTTACTCACCAACTCTAGATTTCTGCATGATCCTTCAACATTCCATTGTTGTGGTTTAGGATAATTTGTGCGTTTGATCCCGAACTTTTTTTTTTTTCTTTTAACTCACTCCATCACTATAGTTTGATTTTGTTGCGTCGTTGGTCCCTAATTGATGTAAACAGACTATTATGCCCTTATGTATTTCTTTTTTAATTTTATGTTTTTTATTAATCATTATATATATATATATATATATATATATATATATATATATATATATATATATATATATATATATATATAAAATCCAAGTTCCCGGGCCCATCCCCTATTCCCCCAAATATTGCTGCCCTCATGTACCAGAGGTTGCTGCCGAGCGTTGCCGATGCCATACCTCACTATCACCACCGGACATCTCTTACTCACCAACTCTAGATTTCTGCAGGATCCTTCAACATTCCATTTATTCTCCATCAAATAATGGCTTGATTTCTGTGTGTTATTTCTAATGAAATTTCCAACAACACGAAAGATGACCACCGTGGGTTTTCATGGCAGGTGGTTGTGCTGCTAACTAAGCAGTTATCATGGTCGGAAATATAATAGCGGTCACCGGCTGCTTTTTGAAATCATGGTTCTCGCGGCGTTATAGCGTTTTTTATATTATATAGAATTTATATATATATATATATATATATATATATATTAAACTGTTAATCAGTAAATCATACTATAAAGTTCAATTCAATCCAATTAATTAGTTAATCAGTAAATCATAATTCGCATATCATATTTAGTTAATCATACTTCACATATCATAATTAGTTTCTCACATTCTCTAAGGTTTATAGAAAGAATTTCACTCCTAATTAATTTTATTCTACTCTTTAGAAGTCATTGGGTGTGAACCAAGAGAGGGATTCTAGTTTGGATCCTTATATCCAAACAAGGTGGCACACACAAGGTCTCAAGCAAGGAGATCGTTAGTATTGAAAGAGGTATGTAATTCTTCATTCTTTATGTTTTAATGAGATACCTATAATAACATGAAACTTAGATCTTTAGAATGTATGAACATATATGATTATTGTTTTGTTTCTGTTGCACTATGATCATGTGATTAGATACATAGAAAACTTAGTAGTGGTCTTCAAGGGCGTAGCTACATACACCAAAGGTAGGTCCTAAGACTTACGTACATTTTAATATTTTCTAGAAATTTTTTTAAGACCCATATTTTAGTGTTGGAAAAAAATAAGGACCTACCTAATTTTTAAAGAAGGAGCCACATGGTTTTTAGTTCTAGATTCGCCGCAGTTAGTCTTAGAGCATAATTTCATGATTACTTGTACTTTACAACCCCCATGATTTGTTTAAAAGTTTCTTGTAATTAGAATAAGAAAAATCAAAAAAATTAAACTTGCTAGACGCAGGTGCGATGCGTCCCGCCGAAACTAGGATTTTCAGATTGCTTTCCTTATTGATTTTAAAATTTAAAGTTATTCAAATTTTGGATAATTACCTTTTAAAAGATAGATATCACTATAAAGACAAAATTGCAAGAATGGCCCCTGTGGTATGTCAAAACTAGCAAGTTTGGTCCAAAATGGGTTTGGCTTGCAAGGATGGTCCAATAGTTTCGTTTTGTTGCGAGTTTGGTCCAAATTGGTTTGAACTTTTTTGTAAAGATGATTTTACCCCTTATTATTTTATTTTTCATTTTTGTTTTATTACCAACATGTAGCACCTGGTTTCCGGTATGTGAATTTTATTTGAGTATTTCCCTATTTTAGCCTTGGACTCGGCGAGTCATAGGTCCGACTCGCCGAGTAGGGACGAGACTCAGGACACGTTTAAGTTGGCGACTCGGCGAGTCCATATCCCGGACTCGGCGAGTCACCGCTGCTGGATGAAACCCTAAATTTCAAGGGTTTGCACCCTATTTAAACCCTCATTCCGCCCCAAACTCGTCCCCATTCACCCCCAGAACTCCCAACCTCGTTTATACCCTTATTTCCTTGAGAGATTGAAGTGTTTTGGAGTGTTCTTGAAGATTTTGAGGAGAAAGAAGAGTAGATCAAGAAGAGGAGAAGGAGACCAGGCATCTTTGTGTCATCTCAACGTTTTCCTTGAGGTATAGCTCGTTTCCCCTCTGTTTTCAAGCTTGTAATCTCTTTTAGCTTCATAGGAGTCCTTCTTGGGCTCTTCCCCAAGCTTGTTTGTGCTTTGTGGGTTGTAATAAGTTGTTAGCCTTTAGATCTAGGCATGATTTAGTCCCTGGAGCTTGGATCTAATGCCTTTATGGGGTCATATTGCATGAAAGCCCTAGATCTACCTCTTTTGGTGCACTTTGAGCCTTAAAATCCATATTGGTGAATATCTACACGTAAAGTTGGAAACTTTACGTGTGATTTGTGTCCTAGAAGCCCAGATCTGTGAATGGCATGGACTGGAATCGAGCAAATCGGTGTATTTGATGGATGCATGGCTGCGACTCGGCGAGTCGTATATGTGACTCGACGAGTCTGGTCGCGAGTCACTGAATTGGTCCCTTTATGATGTATCGAGTTGAGCCGTGAGTCACAGGGGGTGACTCGGTGAGTTGGAAGCTGAACTCACTCATGATAGGACTCGGCGAGTCAATGCCCTGACTCGGCGAGTCCAAGGCAATCTTCATAGATCAAGAACAGACTCGGCGAGTTGTTCATACAACTCGGCGAGTCTTAGCATAAGTGTTCTTCGGATGAAGACGAACTCGACGAGTTGTTCATACAACTCGGCGAGTAGGATGAAGAGGTTGAACGTCAGTCTAGAAGATGAACTCGTCGAGTCATAGCCTAACTCGACGAGTAGAAACAGGGACTCAGGACAATCGTCTGATAGGGACTCGACGAGTTGGAGAGCCAACTCGGCGAGTCGGGTCAACTGAAAGTTGACTCTGACTTGACTTAGAGCTAGACCAGGGGTAAAATGGTCATTTTACCAAAGGACAGTTAACAGTGTTTGATTGAGTATGTTGTGGGAATTGCAGCCGGAGGATTTCCGGAGCAGCAGCAGTCAGTTAGTTCCCGATCAGTTCAGCAGCTACTTTGAGGTGAGTTACCTTCCAGTAGTGGTGGGTCTAAGGCCACAATGCCGGCCCACCAGTAGGGACGTATGATAGATGATTGTCTTTGTGATATCATCTAGGTTTGCTATTACCTAATATGTTATATGCTATCATGATACGTTATATGCGATAGTAGTAGAGTTCGGTTGTTAGGACCGCAGGGTAGTCAGATACCCCAGAAACGTCTGACAGTATGTGATGATATGTTTGTATGTTGGCCTGTTATGTTATGCGATAGAGGTAGCAGGAGGGGACCAGTCCCCGAGGATCGGTTGTTAGGACCGATGGGTAGTCAGCACCCCAGAATGGCTTGACATGGGTAGTCAGCACCCCAGAATGGCTTGACACGGGTAGGACGGCACCCCAGAATGGCCGTATGGGTAGGTCGGCACCCCAGAATGGCCGTACCGGGTAGTCAGGCACCCCAGAATAGCCTGGCAGTACGTATGTTATGTGTTTGTATGGTATGTGGTACGTTGGGGGAACTCACTAAGCTTTGTGCTTACGTTTACAGTTTTGTTTTCAGGTACCTCTTCACCGAAGGGGAAGGAGCCGGCGCGGTAGCGGCACATCATGCACACACTCTGGTTTCCGCATTTACGAGATTCACTGGGATTGTACTCTGATATTTTGATGGGATGTATGGTTTGACTTTTTAAAACATGGTTTGCGATGTGTTATGGTGTGATCAAACAATGTTTTTATCTATTAATGTTTTCTAAAGTAATATTTTAAAATGAAATTTTCGGACATGAAAATTGGGTCGTTACAAGTTGGTATCAGAGCCCTGGTTTGAGGGATTCGGACTCACCTTCGGGGGTGTCTGAACTCAAATCTAGGGATTTAAAGAATTTTTTTGAAAATGATTTCGAACAACGAGAAAAGAGTTTAAGATAGAACAAAAGTGTGTGTGATGTGCGCGACCGGCCGAGCTCAAGTAAGTACTCCCCAAAGTACCCATACCAGTTTATGTTATGTTTATCAGCTTTTGTAGAACAGCATGCTAGAATAGGGCTAAGGATCTAGGAATGATGCCTTATGTGCCTGCCTTATGTGTTCTATCTATATGTGAATTGCATGCTTGTATAGTGTAGACAGCGGTAGGGTAGCCTGTTAGGGTTTGCCTGGTAGTATAAGCTAACACGGTGTGCTAGTTCAGTTCCTCTCTATGAGAGCGGAATTGTTTGAAGTCGTTTTTCCTTGTCCGAATGCTGCTTGCTTCGTGCTAAGTGGGACTCCGAATAATGGGAATTAGCCATTAGGCGAATACGTCACACCACATGTGATCAGAGTTGAATAATCTTAGAGTACCGGATTTAATCCTACCGCGCAGCTCTTGTTTGAGTCCAACCGTTGTAGGGACGAGTCGGGTACTCGAAGGATTATCTGAGTCTCGCCGCATGTGATGGTGTTCGGGTGATGGCTAATTGGCATTACAAGGAGGCCTGCAACAGCTGAGGATTGAATCGGATAGAGCCGGAGGTTTCCCTAGGGCGAGCCGGGAATGAGTATAATAGTAACTAGCCTTAGTGTAAGGGATCTGGTGGGGTCGAGGCAGTCCTTGAAGAAGGTACGGATAGATGTGGAAGGTAGTATGGGCCCGTACTACTGAAAGCAGAGGATCCGTACCCGAACCAAGGAAGGCCAAGACAAGACCAGGGAACTTGTAAGTAGCTATGATTCCTCAGGGAGCACCAGTATATCTAATGATTGTTGTGACGTATTGCAGAATGGTGGTACTTCGATCGAGGCCGGTGGACGGCGGTTCTGGAGAGGGTCAGGTTCGGGATCAGGGTCCGAGCCGATAGATGAGGGACTACGCGAGTTCATCGCGTCAGAGATCACCAGGGGCATCCTTGAGTCGACTCCCATTATCTTCGGGTCGATCAAGGAAGGGATCATGGAGTTGATGGAGGATCGCCTACGGGCATTCAGGAGCGATTTGGCATCTGGCCAGTCGGGGTCACGCACACTGTCCTTCAAGGACTTCAGGGGCAGTGGTGCGCCGGATTTCCATGGGGTAAAGGACCCCATTGCTGCCAGGCGATGGATTGCAGACATCGAGTCTGCACAGCTGACTAGCTTCTGCCCCGAGGGGTCGAAGGTGAGATACGCAGCGGGGTGTTTACGGGACCGAGCCCGGGATTGGTGGGAGTCAGTGGGTGACTCGTTGGGAGCCTCAGCTATCGAGGCTATGACCTGGTCGGACTTTGTGACCAGGTTCAGGGCAGAGTTTGCGCCAGCTGTCGAGCTTCAGCAGCTGGCCAGGGAGTTTCTGGATATGAGACAGACGACGGAGACTGTGG